TCTGGGCAGGTGCTCTTTGGCCGTAGCTTCATTAATCCCGCAGCATCTTGTAAAGGATGTGGTTGCTCTCTATATGGAAGAGGACTCAGCTGGTGGCTGACTGGTACAGATTTGCAACCCCTGTTGCGAGCACGTCTCTCTCCCATTTCTCAGTTCCTTTCCTTCATCGCCTTTGTTACATTTTGCACTTTTGTAGTTTTGTGTTTCTTAGTTTAATGTTTAGCTTTTGTACAGACTCCATGTGGGTAGGGCCTGAGTCCATCCATCTTGTTCTGCCCTGAATCCCTAGTACCTGGCAGATAACCTGGCACAATGAACACCTCAGAGCAGTTTGGTCTTCTCATTCTGCATTAGTAATAAAAATGATAATAAATAGCTAATAGTGAAATAGCATTTGCTCTTCCTTAGGCATTATGTTATGTGCTCTATATATTATGAATTCATTTAATTTCCAAATTGCACAGGAGGTACATCATATTATTTTTACAGTGCGGCTACACCTTTAAAATGTTTCATATGTTAAAAGTTTACACGTGTGTGCACATACACATTGTATATAGACATGGATTAGTATATTTACATACAAACAGAATATGCATGAAGACATGTATAAAACATTCTGGTTGGACTTATTTTAAAATGTGAATTATATATGCTCTCTTTAGAAGATGATTTACATCTGTGCTCACATCGGATGTGAACCCAATTTTGGGAGTACACCAGTCATTTTGCTACCCAGTTATAGTCATCATCTCATATCAACAGCACAGCATCCTCAGGGTCAGCTGTTACTCCATTTACAGATGGGAAGACTGAGGCTAAGGGAGATCAGAAGTCTTCCCCCAGATCACACGGCTGGTGGCTGGTGAGCAGCTGAGCACACACGCAGTCTGTCTGATTCCTGGGACTGTGTTCTCAGCTGCTCCTGGGACTCAGTCCCAAGGTTAGGCTGGCCAGTTTGTAAGAACCTGAAGAGAAGGCGACTCCACCACATTCCCTGGAGGGGGCCCAAGGTGCGGCAGCTACAGCCTTCACCACTGGAAAATTCTTCCTGGTGGCCAGCCTCAGGCCTTCCTGCCACCCTGGTGTTTAGTTAAAAAATGCTCATTTTCTTAATATGAAAAGTCAGTGTCTCCTCATATTTGATTTACCATTTTTCTGCCTTCAGTTGTCTTTCTTGTTTGTGGCCTTTATTCATTGTTCTGTCAGGCTTTTGGTCTCTTCTTGTTGGTGTTTCATGTTGCTAAGGTTAATTTCTTGTCCGTTAACATGTTATGAAAACATTCTCCTGGTCTGTCATTGCCTTCACTCTGCTTGTGGTATGTTTTGCTCTGAACTCTTTCTTTTCTTCAGTATCACATGACTGCTCCTGGATTTCATTTGTTAAAGAAAAAGAAAAGAAAAAGGTTAGCATGGAATTTGTACTAGATTGATACAGTGTTGAGGACAGCTAGTAGTATTGAGGGCTGGACTTCTGTGTAATCTACAGATTTTAGGGAAACCTCCAATCTTTATATTTTTCAAATCACACAGAAAGAGGTGGGACTTAAGACATTTTGCTTGATATAGTGTTTCTTTTGCAGACCCTGCCTCTTGTCCTAAAAGTCAAACATTTTCCGTGCACCTGCACTTACCATGGTGTATAAGACATGGTTCTTGCACTCAGGGATTTACACTGAGAAGTTCTAAAAATATTTAGATGGTACTTGAAATAATCTAAAAATAAATTTAAACAGAAATTAATTCTACTTAGATATAATGTAGTAAAGAAAGTAACAAAATGTACACACCCATCCTCATACAGTGTGTGGCATTAGTATTATATGTTATCTAGTACACTAAGAATTTCATTAGGGTAGAACACCCTAATGGTGATTGTAGAATCACCATTGTGGCTGCTGGGGCACCTCAAGGTTTTTTTCTGGGGTTCAGAGGCCACTTTGATGCTCGTCATTTCTCATTCAGTTGATCTACATATTCTAGAGCAGTGATTCCTTACCTAGGACCTCTTGTGACTGGTTTATCCCTACGGTGCAGGTATCAGTTTGGATGGCATGGGGCCCTGAATCCCTAGTACCCGGCAGATAACATAGGGTACTAATATTTGCATCTATTATGTGCTCTAGAACATAGGGCATACGTGGGCCAGGACTAGGGCAGAGGTGAAGAGAGTTTTTAGTTCCTGAGGGATTATAGCCATGGCCAGGAACACAAACCACTTTTTTTTAGAAGGTGGGAGGTCAAGTGTCAGCTTTTAGGAATGAATTGTTGGCAGCCCAGGGCTCAATTTGGAGGTAGCCCCAATGAGGAATCCAGTCCTTAACCCTACCCTCTCTATCCCTGCGTCTCCTGACTTCTCTCCCCCCACAGATTTACTTGGGATAGGAGATTTACCCCAAATGCCCAAGGCCTACAGCAGTACTTTTCACACTGTGCGGTTGTGGCCCACTTTATGTCAGTTCAGATGGATTGTGGATTTTTTGAGGGCCCAGTTTCTCTTACTCGGCACTTATTTCTTGATACTCAGCATTGTGGCTTGGCATAGGTTCTCCCCAAATATTGATTAAATAAATGAATGATCATAACACTCCCAGGGACTGGGTATGTGCTTGATATTCTAGCATCCTATCATTTCAGTACCAACGTTATCTTGTCTGGCACCATCCAGGTTTCTTGTCAGGACAAAATGTGGTCAGGAATTTCATTTCCTTATCTTTGAACATACATTTTTGGGTTGGCTCCAAGTGATAGGCTGTTAGTTCTAGCTTCCCTGAAACTAGGTCTGAGGAGCCTGGGCTGATATAATAGATGGGGGGCTCACATGCACATGTACACACACCCACACATATGCAAGATCCCCTTCACTAGATGCTGTAGAATAGCAGGGCCATTGCACAGGCTGAGCAAAAACAAAGGGCTAGGAGATTGGAAGGGGAGCTGCTATTCCTCACACTTTCAAAGCAGTTTTTTAAAATATATATTTTATTGATTTTTTACAGAGAGGAAGGGAGAGGGATAGAGAGTTAGAAACATTGATGAGAGAGAAACATTGATCAGCTGCCTCCTGCACACTCCCTACTGGGGATGTGCCCGCAACCAAGGTACATGCCCTTGACCGGAATCGAACCTGGGACCCTTGAGTTCACAGGCTGACACTCTATCCACTGAGCCAAACCGATCAGGGCAAAGCAGTTTTTATGAGCACCAGCATGTGGTGTTATGAAGCTTGAGCTCCATAGAGTATATCTAGAAGGTCCGGAGTAGGAGATGGAGTAAGAGAAGGTAGTAGTCTTAGTTGTTCTGGTATTGAGGTCATGTTTATGTACAGAAGTAGACCTATCTTTTCTCAGAAGAAGAGGGGGCAAACATTATCCTCCCCTGTAGAAGAAGACATTAACTGTCTGATGTCTCCTTTCCTAAGTGAGTGGGTATAAGAGAACATGTGGAGGACAAGACTGTACCTTCAAAAAGCAAGCATTTCCTTTTAGCAAGGATGGGCTCCAGGTATTCTGATTTTATCATTTGATAAAATCTACTTTCTTGCCTGAAAATTCCAGATAGATGGACTATTTATTGGAGATTCCGGGAATGGGGAGCTGGGGGGCTGCTAGAGCGAATTCTGCCAGGAATTGCAGCCGGGGAGGAAAGGGTGCAGCTCTCCCATGAGGGTTGTGGTATCCAGCTAGGAGAATTGGCAGCTAAGGACAAGAATGGGTCTTGAGTGACAGCACTGGCTAGGGTGGGTTCTTAGGCCACAGATTCCTGTTGTAGTGTCTACTGGCCCAGGTTCAGCTGCTTGGCTGTGCCCAGTATGCCAGGACTTGACCCTCAGTGCTCCCTCATGGCCCTTTGCTCAGCATAATCTACTTGAAGAATGCAGCTGTTTCTCATCCAGCAGGTCTGTGTGCACACAGAAGACTCCTTTCCCCGTTGGTAGGGAGACATGGGCCTGTCTCTTTCCTGGAGGTCGATGGAACTCCAGAATTCAAAGTATTAGAAGCTGTGCTCAGCATGTGAGTTGAGATGACCCAGGGGGTGCTCAGAGGGCCAGAAGCAGAGAAGTTATGGAACCTACGGCCCAAGGATTTAGGAGAGCTGTGAGGCAGTGATTCAAGACGAAAAGCCTGGCATGGACGAAAAGCCTGGCGTGATAAGATGTTCTTTTCTGGGGCTAGCTTTTCTGGACTACCTCAGTTGTAGGTGGACAGCCAAGCACTTTGAAAGGACCATGGATGGGCCACGGACACAGTAGTTTGGGGCTCTAATGGGAGTTTAAAGGTAGTCAGAGGTAGCCCACAATTTTAATTCATCTGATCTCTACTTTCTGTTGGTTTTTGAAATATGGGGAGTTGGCTTTAGTAACTACATAGGTTTCTCAGTTTTTGTTGAGATAGATAGGTTGCTGAAAATAACTTTTTAAAAATGTTTCTCCCACATCTACGTTTCCTATTTTCTCTATTTTTTTTTATATGTAAGCTCTTGAGAATTATATTCGAAGAGTTTAAATGAAGTAACTGGCTTATTTTTTGATGTTTAATTCTATGATTTAACATTGGATTCTATTTTAGATAAGTTTTATTCTAAGACTTAGCATTTGATGTTAATATTTAATATTAACATTTAATGTTAGTATTATTATTGGGGAATGAGATACAGAGTCCTGACAAAGTCCTGTTGTTTATAGAACTTGGGCTTAACGAGGTTGGGTCCCCTGGGGAAACATGTGGCTGTCTAGCAAACATTATTAGTGGGAGAGACACCTGGATTTCAGTCCCTGGATTGAGTTTGAGCCGTTCGTCTTTCAGCCTGTTTTCTTTTTGAGGACTGAAAGTTATAAACTTGAGCTTTTCTTTGTCAGCTCAGAAAAGCTGTAAGATAGAGGTTCTCAGTAAAGGGGTATTCTGGAAAACAGAACAGTGTCTTTTTTCTGTCACCAAGTTCAATTGATGACCCAGAAGTTTGGAAAAATTATAATGTATCATATTTGCTTTACTTTTCAGTGCAACAGAATGGAATTCGGCATTGCTCCTATGTAGCTTCCCGGAAACATCTCTACGTTGATAAAAATACAAAGGTTATTTGTCAGGGTTTCACTGGTAAGCAGGTATGTTTCAAGATTTTTTTTAAAAGATGTATGCTATAGATGCAAAACATTTTTCATGATTTTCTGTGTTTTTAATACAACAAAAGTTATAATGCATGATTGTTGCAGAAAAGGAACACAGTACAGCAGTGGAGTTGTATCTTAGGAGGAAGTTCGTTATACTCAGCCTTTAAGATGAAAATTATATTTAAGCTTTCCTTGAAAATTCCTCCTGGGATTATATTATGTTGGAAACCCACATGTTCTCCTTCAGCAAGTGTAACACTACTGGTTTTCCTCCAGCACTAGGACAGATCACAATTTCCTTAATTAAGCAGTAGGTAAAGTAGGCGGCTTGTATTTAAGTCTTGTACAAAAATAATACGCAGTCAAACATAGCTCTATAGTCAGTGTGGGGAAATGTGCCAGCCCAGAGAGGCTCCTGGGGTCTGAGACAGGCTGAGGTAGCAGCACATTGACTTCTCCCATCTTATGTTCTCTCTGTGCAATGGTCTTGGAGGAGACTAACAGGAAGAATTGCTGGAAGCATTTTAATTTGTTCTTATTCATTAATATTTATTCTCTCTCACTGTCTTCTGCCTACATTATAGAATTTGCATAAGTTTAAATATATATGCAATGTGACCCCATAATAAAATGCAACATAAGAATCTCCTTTCCCTCTTTCCACCATTCTTCTCTCTTGGAATTCCTCCTGTTAACAAGTTGAATGTGTCCTTCCAGATATTTTTCTTGCTCATATGTATACTTATATAATGTGCATTCTACAGAACTTATTCTACTATACATACAATATTGTATATATATAATACATATATATCTTAAAACACATTATACAGTGTATAATATAGATCTTACAAATATCTCTATATATAAAAGGCTAAGTGACCTACCGTCCATCTGACCATTTGACTGACTGACCAACTGGCCGGTACATATGACACACACTGGCAATTTAAAAATAAATATTGACTCGCGGATGTGTGATACATATAAAGCTCTCGCTGGCCCAATTGCATGTGATGCCAGAATGTATCTGAAGACCAACTATTGGCACAACGTACCAGGGTTTTTAATATTAAGCTGAATGCTCTTTTAAATGATATATGTAAATCCGATTTATTTGTTAAAGTAATAGCTAATATTCATGCCATCGAATTTCAGAAACGCGGACTACCTCACTCTCACATATTATTGATATTAGACAGTGAATCCAAATTACGAATGGAAGATGATATTGACCGTATAGTTAAGGCGGAAATTCCAGATGAAGACCAGTGTCCTCAACTTTTTCAAATTGTAAAATCAAATATGGTACATGGACCATGTGGAATACAAAATCCAAATAGTCCATGTATGGAAAATGGAAAATGTTCAAAGGGATTTTCACACTTATTTGAGTGCTAATTCCATTGATTCAACGGATGATGCCAAAAAGGAAAAATTTCCCATCAAATTTCTTAATAATATTACTCCTTCAGGAATGCTGTGTCGTAAAATTGAAAGTAGTTGCAATCATCATGCTACTGAGAAATCTTAATGGTAAATGGGGTCTTTGTAATGGTACTAGATTTATTATCAAAAGATTGTGACCTAACATAATCGAAGCTGAAGTATTAACAGGATCTGCAGAAGGAGAGGTTGTTCTGATTCCAAGAATTGATTTGTCCCCATCTGACACTGGCCTTCCATTTAAATTAATTCGAAGGCAGTTTCCTGTGATGCCAGCATTTGCGATGACTATTAATAAATCACAAGGACAAACTCTAGTCAGAGTAGGAATATTCCTACCTACCTGAACCTGTTTTCGGACATGGTCAGTTATATGTTGCTTTCTCTTGAGTTTGAAGAGTATGTGATGATGTTAAAGTAAAAGTTGTAAATACTTCATCACAGGGGAAATTAGTCAAGCACTCTGAAAGTGTTTTTACTCTTAATGTGGTGTACAGGGAGATATTAGAATAAGTTTAATCAATTTATCATTGTTTTTATCAATGTTGTTTTTATATCATATTTTTGTTATTTTTATATCATGTCTTTATTGTTTTTATATCATGTTATTGTTTATTAATCTATATATTCATATACATTTTACTAATTTTTCTTTCATCTCTGACACTTCTATTATAAAGGGCAAATAGTGATATTAAAATATTTTGTATTTTAATTTTATAATACTATATTCTATATACTATTTTGACATGTAATTTTTTGCAGTAACGTAATTACCGCATGGATCTTTCTTCTAATTAATTTCCTTTCAATCTGCATGATCCATGCACCGGGCCACTAGTATGTCTATAAAATATATTCTCAAAAGTAATTTTGGGTGTCAAAGTTTCTATATATTAAAAATTTCAACAGCTACTGCTAAGTTGCCCTTTAAAACATTTCTACAAATTTGTAGTTGCACCATAGTAGATGCACAGATTTTTCTTTAATGAGGGCATACTACCAAATCAATTAGATGATTGTGTCTTAACTCAAAGTATCCCTTTATCACTAAAGGAGAAATGACAAGATAAAAGCAGATAATGATTTTTTTTTGTAATTTAAATGCTATTGATTTTTCTGTAATTAAAAAAATTGTCATGCCCATGCTGCAGCATTTTGGTAATCTAGAGTAGGAGTTGGCAAGCTTATTCTGTAAAGAGCCAGGTTGTTAACGTGTTAGGCTTGGTGGGCCATGCTGGCTCTGTTACAGCCACTCAATGGCATTGTAACAAAAAAGCCACCATAGACAATTGTCAGTGAATGGGCATGGTTGTATGTCAGTACAACTTAATTTAAGGCCAAAGTCCTCAGGCCATAGTTTAGCAACCCCTGATCTAGATAGAGGATGCCACCTAAATATTAAATTTCTGTAACTTTTATTTTTAAAGTACTTAGAAATTACTTAAAATTATATGGTTCTTTTTTTTTTTAAAGAAAAAGAATTTGGTTTGAAGGTTGTTTTATATAAACTGTCCCTTTGCTTTTTGACTTGTTTTTAAAATAACTGGGCACAAAAATATGAATTGCAATGGACTTTCGTTTTTTCTTTCTCTACTATCTAAAAAAAAAAAGCCACTACTAACAAAAAGAAACACCTACAAAACCTTGAAATTTTCTTTACAGGTGAAACTGACTTTTTTATTCTGATAGCCATATATTTTATGAGTATCACTCCTACATTCTAAACAAAGTTGATGCTCATCTAAGAAGTGAAGTACATGTTAGTTTTCATCCCCTGCCAGTGAAAGCCATATGCAGTCTCTTTTTGATTATTATTAATTTTGTTAGCATATAACCAAAATGTTTGATTAACCCTAATTCCCCACATATGTTTATTACATATAATTTTGTTTTTCTGTTTGCTAAACTTTATATGATCTTATGACATTTAACCTCTGGCCTATTTTCTTAAGAACCATTATCCATGGTGTAAGGACTATTTGGAACTGTCTCTAATTAGGTGATAGTTTGCCTAAATATTGAAATCTAAGGTTGGTGACCTGCAATTATATTGTTTCTCCTTTAGTTAGATTTCTTGGTTAAGATTCCAATATTATAGGTAATGATGAGGTATGAAATACAGAGCTTATCTTCATAGGAAATCTGCATTTTGTCTTATTAGCTCTTTTTTATTTCAGAGTGGATTCCAACAGTGCAGGTTTCCAATGGAATTTCTTATACTGACTTAGATTGCTGCTAAAAATATTCCAGTTCTTAACTGTGCACTGGCTAATGATAATGGGAAAACTAAGGAAAATCAGCTTACTGACAGGAAATGTTGCTGCTGTTTAGCACTACATTAGGAATGAAAGTCCAGTTTCGGTTTGTTTTTACTTGCCATTCTAATGTAGATTAATACCTTTGCAAAATACAAGAAAAACCACAGCAGTATATTGCTGTAAAAATTTGCAAATGTTCTCACTTTTTGTATTTTTTATTAGATTTTTTCCTTTCTTCCTGACTTCCATTCTTGTCATTTTCGTGTTTGTGTGTGTTTGTGTGTGTGTGTGTGTGTGTGTCTGTGTGTGTGTGTGTGTGTGTGTTTATGTCACTGCAGACCAGAAGGAGTCTGTATATTTTGAATAGCGCTGCTTTAAAGAGAGAGCTGTGGTTCTTTCCAAAATTCCATCACTGACTTGAGACAAGTCAATTCACTTGCTAGGGCCTAAGCTTCCTAGTTTGAAAAATGGAGTAGCTGAATTAGGAAATGTCCTAATTTTTAAGGCCCTAATTTTTATTCTATTAATACAGCAGTTCTCAACCTGTGGGTCGCGACCCCTTTGGCGGTCGAACGACCCTTTCACAGGGGTCGCCTAAGACCATCCTGCATATCAGATATTTACATTACGATTCATCACAGTAGCAACATTACAGTTATGAAGTAGCAATGAAAATAATTTTATGGTTGGGTCACAACATGAGGAACTGTATTTAAAGGGCCAGAAGGTTGAGAACCACTGCTTTAATAGAATTTGAGTAGTTGAGTCAGCATTTTTATATCCTTGTGGAATGACCACATAGACCCACACAGTTTTCAACAAGTCCTTAATTGAGAACCTTCTGTATGTAATGTATTGGGTTAGGTGCCATCTCACAGTGAGCAAAAGGATAGAAATCACTGCCTTCATGGAATTTACATTTTAGTTGCAGGGGAGAGAAACACATCAACAAAATCCATGAGTAAGTTATGTGATATGTTAGAAAGTATAAATGCTATGGGAAAAATAAACCAGAGAAGGAGGAAAGTGTGCAAGTTTGTGGAGTCATGGTGGAGATTGGGAAGGGGGGATTTTATATCATGTGTTCAGGGGAAGGCCCAGAGTCCAGATCTAAGTGAGATGTGAGAGTGAAGCAAGTGGATATGTAGGAGCAGTATATCGTTGGGGAGGAGAGCGTGGTGCTGGCATCTGCTGAGTGGAGGCCAGGGATGCTGCGGAGGGGACCGTGAGGCTGTGAGGCGGGAATGTGCCCGGTACGTGTGGAAGCTGCAAGGCCACTGTGACAAGTGAAAGGAGCAGTGAGAGAACAGTAAATGAGGCAGGTAGGTCAGGGTTCTGAGATGGGGAGGCAGGTTGGATACTGACTTGTAGGCCAGTATACCAGTAAGAGTTTGGCTTTTCCTGTGAATGACATGGAAAACCACTGGAAGGTTTGAATAGAGGAGTGACATGATCTTCCTTGTGTTTTAACACTGGCTGCTGTGTTGAGCATAGATTGAAAGGGAGCAAGGGCCATACTTGGTCAAGAGTTGATGGTGACTTAGATCAAGGCGGAAGCCATAGAAAGGGTGAGATGTCCGTTTTATTTTGAAAGTAGGGCAATATGCTTCACTGATGCATCTCATGTGAGACGTAAGAGGAAGAGAAGAATCAAGGTTGACTTAAGTATTTTTGGTCTGAACAACTGTTAGGAGTAGAGTTGTCACTCACTGAGATGGGTAGACTGTTGTGGGGAGTGATCAGGAACTCAGTTTTGAGCTCTTTAAGTTAAATCACCTACTCGTTCTCCAAGTGGAGATGTTAGCTAGGCAGTTGACAGTGTGAGTATGGAATTTAAGGCAAAGGTCTGGGCTAGATATGTGTGTGGGGGGGCTGTATGGATATTTGTTGCCATGATAAGGGAGAAGGTCACAAATTTAGATGAAAAAGAGAAGTCTAAGGAGAGAGTGAGAAGAGGGAAACCAGGGGAGGTAGAGCCCAGATGCCTAGTGAGAAAGAATGGGTCAGTGTCTGGAGGCATTTTTGGTTGCACAACTGATGGCAGTAGGGAAGAGGGCATGTTACTAGCATCTGCCGAGTGGAGGCCAGGGATGCTGCTAAACGTGATACAAAGCAGAGGACAATCTCCCATAACAAAGAATCGATGTGTCTAAAATGTCAGTAGTGTCGAGTTTGAGAAGGAAGAGTGGATGGATAGGGAAATACAGATGTTGTCTGGGCAGCTTTAAAAGGCTCACTTACGGTAGTGACGATAAATTTAAAGTGAGATCAGTTAGCATGGTTTGTTTTTTCTTCAGCTACTGTTTGGCTACAAATGTGCCATCTTAGAGTAGGTGGAGAATTGATTTAATGAAGGTTTTGATTTTGTCAGATGTGTAATTGAAGTGAGGGAGAGCCAAGGTTGCTGTGTGAGTGTAATGACTGATCATGGGTCTTAAATTGAGTAAAGAGGAGTGTGAGGACACCAGGAGCTGAGGAATAGCGACAAAGAAGTGCCAAGCAAATATGAGGGTGTTTCTGACCCCCACCCAAATTTGAAAACGGTATAAAAAGAGACCCCCTCTTTTATGCCACCCCCCCCTTTTTTTTTTACAAACGCTTTTTTGGCTTTGCAAAGTCCTATTTGCTTCATGGTTTAAAGCTGTGTAGTAAGTTGGTGAGAATGCTGGATATTTGCTACTGTTATCTCTGAGTAGTTCACCTGTTTGTTTTCCTTTTCCAAGTTGCTGAAGATTGCCTTTTGGCTTCCCAGCCTGCCCCTTCTCAGAGTCCTGTGCTTTCTCCTCCTCAGGGCACCTTTCACAGCCAGCAGGCATTGGAGTATGGCACCAAACTCGTTGGAGGAACCACTCCAGGGAAAGGAGGCAAGACGCACCTGGGCTTACCGGTCTTTAATACTGTAAAGGAGGTAATTATTGGTACTTGTGGTGTGGCAAGAAAAGAAAAGCAGGGAGGGCCTAGCCAGCATGACTCAATGGTTGAGTGTCGACCTATGAACCAGGAGGTCACAGTTCGATTCCTGGTCAGGGCGTGGTCAGGACACATGCCTGGGTTGTGGGCTTGATCCCCAGTGTGCATGCAGGAAGCAGCCGATCAATGATTCTCTCTCATTGTTGATGTTTCTATTTCTTTCTCCCTTTCCCTTCCTCTCTGAAATCAATCTAATATAATAAAAGAGAAACATGCAAATGTATGTACCTACACTATACCCACAAGCCACACCCACCAGCCATGCCCACAAGCCAATCAGGAGCGAATATGCAAATTAACCCAACTAAGATGGCAGCCATGGAGCTGGAGTGAGCAGGAGGCTTGGGTTGCCCCCGGCAATGGAGGAAGCCAAGCTTCCCGCCTGCCCTGCCGGCCCTGAGCTCTGCTCAAGGCTACAAAGTTTCAATGATAGAAGATAAATAAATCCCAGGTATCTGCTTCCAGCCCGTGGCCTACCTAAAAACGGCCCTCACCCCCTCACCCAGGCTGGCCAGGCACCCCAGTGGGACCCCCCCACCCTGAAGGGGCTGTGGCCAGCCTGCAGACAGCCATCATACCCTCACCCGATCCCCCGGGGAGTGGGCCCAAGCCAGCAGGTGGACATCCCCTGAGGGGCCCCCAGACTGCGAGAGGGCACAGGCCGGGATGAGGGACCCCCCCGAGTGCACAAATTTTTGTGCACCGGGCCTCTAGTAAATATATATGTTAGTATATTTTAAAAGAAGAAAAGCAGGGAGGAATGAGCATACTTTGGATACAGATCTTAATTGTGCTCCTTTTGGGAGAGTCATGTGCCATTTTAAAATCCAGTAACCTAGAGAAATTTGAATCACAGTGAAAACCAATGGATTCACTTGAGTCACACATGTCCAGGGTGTTTTCTCCACAGCCTGTGTCACTTCTGGTTACAGACACACATCAGCTCCTAGGGGAAGAGTGCTGTGGCTCGGCTTCTGTTTGGCTTGTTACCCTTTCTATCCTTTCTTCTTCTAGGATATTAGTAGTGCACATGCCAGCATCAGCCCTAACACTTACTGATCATGGGCCATTTGCCAGGCACTGTACTAGGTGCTTCACATACAGTGCCTCATTCAGGCCTCACTCTGAGGTAGGTGCTGTTATCCTCTCCATTTTAAAGACAAGGATATTACTAGTGCAGCGAGTTTAAGGGTCTAGTTCAAAGTCTCGCAGCTGATAAGTGGCAGGCTTAGCATGGATCAGAGTAGTGTACTGTTCCCATGTGAAAAACTGTTGTGTCACATTGACAAGTCAGAGTTATAATCTCTTCCCCAAATTGCTGATCCTATATAATAAACCCTTACATGCAAATTGACTAAACGGCAGAATGACTGGTCACTATGACATGCACTGACCACTAGGGGGCAGACACTCAATGCAGGAGCTGCCCCCTGGTGGTCAGAGCGCTCCCACAGGGGAAGTGCTGCTTAGCCAGAAGCCGGGCTCACGGCTGGCGAGCACAGTGGTGGTTGCGAGAGCCTCTCCTGCCTCTGCAGCAGCCCGGGGAGCGGGTCTAAGCCATCAGTCGGACATCCCCCAAGGGCTTCCGGACTGCAGGAGGGCACAGCAGGCCGGGCTGAGGGAACCCTCCCACTGAGTGCACGAATTTTGTGCACCAGGCCTCTAGTTTCTTAATAAAATTTTAAAAATGATTTTTAAACTTCGTTACAAAACGAATATGTGCTTATTGTACAAATTCAGATGATATAAAGGTTTGTAAAGTTAAATTTTTGCCTTTATAGAGAGCTAATTTAAGCCATGTGTAATTCCTTTGTATACTTACATGAATATATATAAAAACAATAGTATTTTAAAGGAAATGGGGTGAGGGGAGGTAGAAAAGGGTAAAGAGGATAAATGGTGATGGAAGGAGACTTGACTTGGGGTGGTGAGCACATAGTACAATCACACAGATGATGTATTACAGGATTGTACACCTGAAAACTATAATTTTATTAACCAGTGTCACCCCCAGTAAATTCAACAAAAAAGAAACAAATGAAAGGAAATGGTAGTACAAATTCTTGAATATTTAATTAAAAATATCTAGGAAATAAACTTAGTACTTTGGAGTGATGAATTAATAATAAAAATTATATACTGCTCCTCCCTTTCTTTTAGGGCATGCTTTAAGTATTATTTTTTAAAGTACAGATTTGTAGACGATTTCTTTTCAGAATGCTAACTTCAAATTGTAAGTTAATTTGTACTTTGAATCCTAAGATGTAGGAAAAAATGAAGTTATCATTCAAATTTGAATTTTTTATTTTACTTTAAATTTGAAAATAGGGTGTACTATATGTGTGTGTGTGCTTTAAGTGTATTGTATTTTAGAGAGTTAAAAAAGTTACAAATAATATGATCAGTGGAAGAATCATTTAAAGTTTTTGCTTTAATTTTTTTGTTTTTTTCTCCCCTTAAATTCGATGATGGCCCTAATTGGTTTGGCTCAGTGGATAGAGCGTCAGCCTGTGGACTGAAGGGTCCCAGGTTCAATTCCGGTCAAGGGCATGTACCTTGGTTGCGGGCACATCCCCAGTAGGGGGTGTGCAGGAGGCAGCTGATCAATGTTTCTCTCTCATCGATGTTTCTAACTCTCTATCTCGCTCCCTTTCTCTCTGTAAAAAATCGATAAAACATATTTTAAAAAAATTGGATTATGGCTGCCTCCAGGACAGGCAGTGTTAGCTTCTTTGCTTGTCTGGTTATTGTTGTCAGTTTCAAAATATGGGAGGAGCAGTTTTCATAATTCCTCCAGGTAGATTTGACTTTTGTCATGAGCCTTTTTTTTATTTTCTTTTAAAGAAAATTTTTGTTGGTAAGCAATTTATTTTTTATTTATCATAATACAAATAGATATATTTGGAATATTCTGTAAGTTCTTTGACAGGTACTGTTTATTTCTCAGTTGTTCAGCTCTTACAAGGAGCTTTCCGAGTGAGTAGGATGGATACCTTTTATCCAATATTACCTCCAGCTTCTGACAGTATTTGTAGCCTTAAGAGGTAGAGAACTGTAGGAAATATTTTCCATAAAATGCCTACTTGCCTATGACCTGACTTCTGGTTTCAACCTACTTTTTATTTCTTTTGTTACCCTTTCTCTGTTACCATTTTGAACAGAGTTTTTGAAAAACATATATTTTTTTAATATATCTTATTGATTTTTTACAGACAGGAAGGGAAAGGGATAGAGAGTTAGAAACACTGATGGGAGAGAAACATCGATCAGCTGTCTCCTGCAAACCCCCTACTGGGGATGTGCCTACAACCAAGGCACATACTCTTGACCAGAATCGAACCCAGGACCCTCCAGTCTGAATGCCGACGCTCTATCCACTGAGCCAAACCAGTCAGGGCTGAAAAACATATTTTTAACCATTGGCATCATTTGTGGATGATCTGGCAACATCCTTTGACTCTGGGGATGTGGAGCATCACTGTCTTTGACTTCTGTCCCCTTCTAGTTGCACCTGGATGTTCTGTAGCTTTGTATTTGTATTATCCATTGTAAAATCCCATGTCACAGCCTCCAAAGGGTTTTGATTTGTATCATGACTAAGTTACCTTTGAACACGTGCAGGGAGGTGGCCTGCTGTAACTGAATGACTAGATGCTTTGGAATCAGATAGACATAGCTTTGAATCTTGGCTCTGCCACTTCCTAGCTATGTAATCTCATGCAAGTTATTTAATATCTCTTGGCCTCAGCGTCTAAGCATGAAGAGCTGCGGTGATGCCTAATGCTTCTTTCACCCACATTCTTTTCTGTGGCCACTTACACATGTTTATTCCTAATAAACATGCAGTTAGAGTAAAAATTGTCAGCTAAAAAACACTTCACTTTTGCTGTCTCTTATATTTATCAAGTATAACATATGTATTTTTAAAATGGATTGATTTGAGAGAGAGAATATTGATTTGTTGTTCAACTTATTTATGATTCACTGGTTGATTCTTGTATGTGGCCTGACCGGGAATTGAACCCACAGTTTTGACATATTGGGATGATACTCTAACCAACTGGGTTAACCAGCCAGGGCAATTATACTGTATTTTTAAAAAGATGTTTGAGAGTGTAGTTCTGAGACTCAGGGACTCAATAGTCCTTTTTCTCCTGAGGAGGTATAGGGTCTTTGGTACTGAATAGGTGGTACAGTGTCTTATAAGCAACAGAAATAAACATGGCCGTAGGAGTGAGGGACACAAATGCAAATCAGGCCATGCTTTCAGGTTTACTGATAAGCCATCGCTTGAGGGATGTCTGTGACCCTTTAAATTCAGTGGCATTCCAAGGGGGCAGGGAGGAGGCCAAGGGGACATACCATGTTCCTGGTGATGTCCTTTTATGACTCCAAGACATTATTAAATTCCTGGTATTGAATTCGTCTTTCAATGGTTATGACTTGACCATTAATAAAGTGCTCTGTGCTTAATGTTTCAGGCCAAAGCACAGACAGGAGCGACAGCTTCTGTCATTTATGTCCCTCCTCCTTTTGCTGCTGCTGCCATTGACGAAGCTGTGGAGGCGGAAATGCCCTTGGTCGTGTGCATTACTGAAGGTATCCCACAGCAGGACATGGTACGGGTCAAACACAAAATACTGCGCCAGGGAAAGACAAGGCTGATCGGGCCCAACTGCCCCGGAGTCATCAATGTGAGTGTACAAAGGAAGAAGCCCGGATTTAGCCTCACAAGGCTCATTACCTTTGGATCAGTCCAAGTGTACTGTGTGGATGACCTAGGAGTTACCATTTCTTTTCACTTTTCTGAAACTGTGATTTCCTTTTCTTCAGCCTGGAGAATGTAAAATTGGTATCATGCCTGGCCATATTCACAAGAAAGGAAGAATTGGTGAGTATGTTTCTTATAGATTCAGAAAAAATTCTTTGTCCTAAGCTCAGAACTTACAAAGAGAATCTGTGACTATGTAAGTTAAATTCATTTTAATTGGCAGGGGAGTTTTGTAGTGAGTCAGTTCTATATCCTGAATTAAATGAGTTTGAGAAGTTGCAATGATTCTATAGAATCAATGAAGATATTTTAGAGGTATTTTAAAAGATTCTTTTCCTGCTCAGATACCATAGATTCTTGGGTGTATCAATAGTTAATTTCGTTTTATTGCTAACTAATATTCTGTTATATAATTACTAGAGGCCCATTGCAGGAAGATTCCTGCAAGAATAGGGCTTCCTGTGGCTGGAGCGAAGCAGAGAAGGGAGCAAAACCCGCTGAGGCGGGCTTCCCTCCCGCCTCCGCCCCCGCTTGCTTCCCTCCCTCCTCCGCCGCCCGCTTGCTTCTCCACAGCTTCGTTCCCTTCTGCAGCGCTTGGTTTCCTTCTACGTTATCTTCAGTCTTTGCTCTGTCCCTGCATATGCAAATTAATTGCCATCTTTGTTGGGTTAATTAATCGCCATCTTTGTTGGGTTAATTTGTATACTCATCTGATTGGCTGGTGGGCATAGTGGAGTGACACCAATTTGCATGTTTCTCTTTTATTAGTGTAGGTATCACAATTTGTTTATTCTCCCATTGATGAACATTTGGATTATTTCCAGGTTTGAGCCATTATAAATAAAGCTAAAGTGAATGTTTATATAGAGGTCTTCTTATGGACACGGTTTCATTTCTCTTGGGTAAGATACCTAGGAATGGAATTGTTAAGTCATAGGGTTGAAGTATGTTCATCTTTTTAAGAAATTGTGAAATAATTCTATAAAGTGGCTGTTCATTTTTACCTTCCTACTGTCAGTTTTTGAGCATTCCAGTTGTTCCATTACTTCAGTCTTTAATTTTAGCCATTCTACTGGGAATGAAATGGTGTCTCATTGTGGTTTTGATGACTAATGAGGTAGAAGGTGCATATTGGCTATTTATATATCTTCTTTTGTGAATTACCTGTTTAAGATTTTTCCACATTATTTTTTATTAGATTATATTTTTATTGTTGATTATGAGGGTTCTATAAATATTCTGGATAGAAATTCTTTATCAGATATATGTGAGTATTTTTATTGTTAGTTCTTTTGTGTCCTGTCCTATAATTACTTTGCCCTCTTGGATATCACAAACTTTCTCAAAATGTTTCAGGAAAATTGCACTGCTACTTGTTTAGTTCTCAAGGTCATAACCAAATTAACATCTCAAAGCCCATTATGCCTGTTATTTTACTCTTCACACCTAACCCTCACTAACCTGTACTGTTTCTGCACAGTAATTGATGGTTACAGTAATTTATAAGCCATGACTATTAATAATAATAAGAATAATCAACATAGTAAGTGAATGTCAGCTTTGTAGTTCACAGGACTAGGTTAAAGGTCATAATTTTTCTTTATTACTACCGTCTCCTAGAGCTGGCAGCCCTGATGCCAGTAGGATACTTGCCATGGGAATTCCATAGACCATCTGAGTTCTAGTGGGGGCCTGTCTCATTTAGACACTGATCCTGTTGTCATATTTGAGTATTTTTTGTGCTCTTTGGTCTGCTTTGAGTGGCTACTGCTGTAGATGTGAGGTGATCATAGAAGAAGGAGTGCCCTATGCCGAGTTGTCTTTCTGATCTCTACCCTGCTTTTCTACATGCCCATAAACCTAAAAACCAAAAAAACGAGAAGTTAAGGGAAATCCTTTAGACCTTGGTGCTCTGAATGACCGTAATACATGGATGAAGCAATCCTCTGGGACATTGCTTTTAATTCCTTTGAGAAAAAGGGCTTTAAAACAAATTCACCTAAAAGAAAGTATGTGATACTACAAGGTTTTTGAGGCAGTGAGGAGAGAAAAGATGATTATATGAACTATTTCTATTTTGATACCAAAGCTAATGTCCTCAGAAGCCTTATTATCTTCAGATCCTTAAGCTAAGATTTAGGGAAAGGATCTTTTAGTCCCTTAGGTATTTCTTGGGACATTGTAATGTAATACGATAGCAGTACAATACTATAGTGACTTTCCAGTTTGTGTTAGTGAGTTAATAAAAGTATATACCAGCTAATTGAATTTACTGAAGTGATTGGATTCCAACTTGATATTTAATTGCACTATGGTTTTTAGTTCTCTTATGATAGACATTATTTTTACTTTCAACCATACATGACATACTTGACTCATCCTTTTAAAAATTTTTATTTTAATTACACTTTTTATATTTAGAAAATTGCCAATTTACATATAGTTGCTAGAAATAATATAGATAGATTTCAGTGTACCATTAATCCAGCTTCCCCCAATGGTACCAGCTTGCAAAAACTGTAGTACAAGGTCACAACCAGGATATTGACATTGATACAGTCAAGATAAAGGATGTTCCCATCACCACAGAGATCCCTCATGTTGCCTTTCTGTAGCTATACCTACTTCCTTCCTGCTTCCACCCCTTTCTTAATTCTTAGTAATTAAAATGTGTTCACAATTTATATAATTTTGTCATTTCAGGAGTGCTTTATAAATGGGATTATATAGTATATACTTTAGGATTGGCTATTCACACTCAGTGTAATTCTCTGGAGATTCAACCAGGTTGCTGAATGTATCCGTAGTTTATTCCTTTTTATTGTTGAGTAGTGTTCCATGGTATGAATATACCACAATTAGTTTGACCATTCATCTTTTGAAAGATGTCTCAGTTTCCACTTTGGGACTATCCTTCCTATATAATAAAAGGGTAATATGCAAATTGACCCTAATTGCGGAATGACCGGTCGCAATGATGAGCACTGACCACCAGGGGGCAGATGCTCAATGCAGGAGCTGCCCCCTGGTGGTCAGTGCGCTCCCACAGGGGGAGCTCAGCTCAGCCACAAGTGGGAGAGTCTCCCACTGCCTTGGCAGTGCTAAGGTTGTCCAACTGTGGCTTAGGCCCACTTCTCATGGGGACCAGGCCTAAGCTGTCAGTCAGACATCCCCCGAGGGCACCCGGGCTGCCAGAGGGATGTCTGACTGCCAACTTAGGCCCTACCCCCCAGGGAGTGGGGCTAAGCCGGCAGGTGGATATCCATCCCCCAAGGGGTCCCGGACTGCGAGAGGACACAGGTCGAGCTGAGGGATTCCCCTCCCTCAGAGCATGAATTTTCATGCACCGGGCCTCTAGTTATTAATAAAGCTTCTAATAAACATGTAAACATTTGTGTAAACACATGTAAACATTTTGTATGTACATAAGTTTTCATTTCTTTGGGATGCTTAGGAGTGCAATTACTGGTTTGTATGATAGTATGATAGTTGCATGTTTGTTTATTAAGAAACTGCCACATTTCTATCCATTTTAGCCATAGTATTTTACTTTTCCATCAGTAATACATGCGTGATCCGCATCCTTGCCAGCATTTGTGGTATTACTATTTTTTATTTTAGCCATTCTGATAATTGTTCACTGATATCTCATTGTGAATTTAGTTATATTTCACGTGCTTGTCACCTACTAATATATATCTTCTTTAGTGAAATGTGTCATGTGTGTTTTGTTTTTGGTTCATGTTCGAATTGGATTATTTGCTTTTTTCTGTTAAGTTTGAGAGTTCTTTATTTTAGATACTAACACTTACAGGATATGTGGTTTGCAAATATTTTCTCCCACTCTGTAGCTTGTGTTTTCATCCTCTTTCGTCACCTTTCAGAGAGCAAATGTTTTTTTTTATTTTGATGAAGTCTAATTTATTTATTTTTCTTTTGTGAAGTGTTCTTTTGATGTCAACTCTAAGAACTTTTTGCCTAGCAAGAGTCCTATCTTTTTACTGAAAGATTTACTTTTACATTTTAAGCCATGATTCAATTTCAATTAAATTTTCCATAAGATGTGACTTCGATCAAAAGTTTCTATTTTAATGCCTGTGGAGGTACAATTGTTCCAGCATCATTTGTTGAAAAAAACATTTCTTCCACCCAGCCAGAATCGCTTAATGGTTAAGCATTGACCTATGAACCAGGAGGTCACAGTTTGATTCCTGGTTAGGACACATACCTGGGTTTGTTCTTGATCCCCAGTGTAGGGTGTGTTGGAGGCAGCCCATCAGTGATTCTCATCTTTGATGTTTCTATCTCTCTCCCTCTCTCTTCCTCTCTGAAATCAATAAAAATATTTTTTTAAAAAGAAAAATATTTCTTCCATTAATTGCTTTTGCATTTATGTCAAGAATCAGTTGATATATTGGTGTTGGTCTGTTTCTGGTTCTCTCTTCTGTTCATTGACTCATGTGCTTATTTAACACCAGAACATACCACACACTCTTGATACAATAATGTCCTGAAATTGGATAGACTGATTCTTTGCACTTTGGGTTTTTTTTTTAAGTTTTTTTTTTTTAGCTATTCTAGTTTCTTTACTTTCCTATATTAATTTTAGAAAGATTTTCTCTATATCTAGACAAATTCTTATTGGGATTTGACAGGAATTGTGTTAAATCTATATGTCAGTTTAGGAAGAATAGACATCTTTATTGTCTACTTGCCCTGGTAGGGAGATCTTATTGTTAAAAACGAATCTTCTGAGTTCTTAAAAAGTGCTCCAAAGCAGAAGTTTAAAGAAAGCAAACCATGGACACCACCCAGAATTCATGTGCTGATTTAGCCCATATCAGTTTGTTGTTTTATTAAAAAAAACCATTTTTATATAATGTGTTCTAACAACTGAAGTCATTCATTTATACTTCTCAACTTATTAAAAATTAAGGACTCACTCATTATTTACTGATTGTGGCATGAAATAAATTACCTTTTCTGTAGCTCAGTCAAGAGAAGATGGTGTAGCTGCCACCGCCCCACCCCATACATCTGCGCACCTTGTCCAGATGTGAAATGAGGTCCTTTCACACAGGCCCATTGTATACAGGAAGTTACATGGTAGACTTGAACTCAGGGATTGGGACCTTCCCTTTAAAGCCTATATGTTCTTTGAAAATGATGAGAAAAATAGTTGTGGGAGAAATAGATAGCACTGCTAAATGTGACTGATGGAGGTTTTCCAAGGCTGAAGGTTTTGGTAGTTTAATAGATTGGGTATCTGTAAGTCTAATCTGTATATTCTTCCACCCTAAGCAAGATTGTACCCCCCAAGTTCACATGGATATTATTATCCCTTTCCCAAAGATTCTTAGAAGAGGTAATATAGGTCTTTCTTACATTGCTTTTATAGGTCATAAAATACCCCCAACTAATAATGTGCTTTCTCCTATATCTAGCTTTTAAAACCTCCCTGCTTTAATTTAAGCCTTTTCTTCTTATTTCATCATTTGAAGATATTGTTGATTTGGATGACATATCATGGAGTGGATTTTATATGTACTCATATTTGTAATTTAGTTTGTTCTGTGATAGTCTGTCATATGAACACACTCTAACATTTTTGAATTCTCTTTCTTTAAGGTATTGTGTCCAGATCTGGCACCCTGACTTACGAAGCAGTTCACCAAACAACACAAGTTGGACTGGGGCAGACTTTGTGCATTGGTGAGGGATTTGTGCTAAAATCATTTCATTGAAATGTAGTATTTTCATTGAATGAGTATGATAGTAATTACTGTTTTGACCATTTGCAAGAGATTTTGATACCATTTTATTAAAAAGATGCTTTGATCTCAAATTTAATTTGCATGAATGTGAAGCCCTACTGTGTTTTTCAAGATTCATAGTCCAAGATTCCACACTGAAGAGCAAGCATCCTTAGACATGTGGCTCCGGGAGAGGTTTGGTGCCTGAAAACATCACTTATTTTGCTTGCTGGGAACAAGCAGTCCTTCATATTAGGACTTTTGTTGTGATAGTTATCATTTGCTATCATTATAAGCTATATAATTCAATGCTTCACAGTTACTGAATTCTTTGCCATTTATTATCTGATTCTTTTTTTTTTTAATCCTCATGTAAGAATATGTTTTTGTGTTGATTTTAGAGAGAGAGAAACATTGATGTGTGAGATAGAAGCATCAATCGGTTGCCTCTAGTATGCACCCCAACTGGGGATCGAATCCACAACCAAGGTGTGTGTCCTGATGGGTGCACGGTAGACGCTCTGACCAACTGAGCCACCTGGCCAGGGCCATTATCTGATTCTTAAGGCAACCCTGTAAAGTACCTTTGAGCTGAAAAGTTGGTGAGCAAGTCTAGTTTGAGGAAGGTTAAGCACCCCAGAATTGCTCTTTTTGCTGCATCATACTGCCTCCCACTTGTAAAATTAAAAAGGTATTTAGATTTTAAAGTTATTTTGGTATTTGTTGCCAAAAGCCAGGCAAATTTCTCATTTTCATAAATATTTCTTCAAATTCTTAGAATAGCTTTTAAAAACCTTTCAAAAATAGATTTTTATAATAAAAATTATGGCCATGGAGTTTTTTTATGAAGACTCAAATCCATAAGTTAGTATAGGAACCATGGCTTTTCTGTGTATAAAGCACAATCTTAGATTCTAGGTAACTTAGTCTGATGGAGAATAAGAGGGGTTTTGAGGCCTGGTTGGTAACTCAGTGGTTAGAGCATCGGCTTGTGGCCTATGCGTGGAAGGATCATGGATTTGATTCCCAGTCAAGGGCAAGTACCTGGGTTGCAGGTTCTATCCCTGGCCCTGTTTGGGGCATGTGTGGGAGGCAACCAATCGATGTGTCTCTCTCACATCGATTTTTTTTTTCTTTCTATCTTTCCCCTTCCTCCCTCACTTCCACTCTCTCTAAAAATCAAAGGAAAAAATATCCTGGGATGAGGATTTGCAACAACAAAAAAGAAAGGTTTTGAAACAGTTGCCAATTCCATCTTCACCTTCTGTTTTAATTTGCAAATTGAGACTAACAGGGCCTATGTCACAGAGGTTGGAAGTATTAGGAGATGGCAGGTCTGACGTGTACTGAGACACAGTAGTTGACACATGTTGTCACTCAGTAAATGCTGTTTCCCTTCCTGAACTCCATTCTTCAGAGATGCACTAAAGGTAGGAAATCAGTCCTGCCTTCAGTGAGTTTAAACTTAAAACAAATGTGGCATCTAGTCTGTAAGGAACATTGCCTTTAATTCTATCCAAGTACTTCTTCTTCAAATGTCACGTACGTGGAGTCGAGCCCCTCCGTGTATCTCTGTCATCACCCACCCTGGAGCTGAGGGAAGGAAAGGCGCCAGGGCACCCTTCACCCAGTCCCTCACTGGGCCTTGTGTCTCAACACTTGTGAGTGTTCTCTGAAACGTGCCTCACTTATAGTTCCTTTGTGCAAAGAAATTTGTTAAATGTTTAATGAGAGAAGACATTCTTGCTTGTAATACAAACATACATTTTCTTTAAAATGCTCATTTTTAAACAGTTATCTAAGCATAAATTTGTGGGAGGAAAGAGGATTGATAAAGGAGCTAAAACAAAAAGAGGTTTTTCTTTGTATCAGAATCCAACCACCATTTAGGGTTCATGTAATATTAAAAACAATTAAGTGAACCATTTTGTGATTTCTTAAAAAAATGTTTAGTGCAAGAGAAATGATACCTTTGAAAATATTGGTGAGCGGGGTAGACAAAATAGAGAAAAAATTGAAACAACATTTCTCAACCTAATTCTCATGCTGTTGATATTCATTGATCTTTTCAGGCATTGGAGGTGATCCTTTTAATGGAACAGATTTTATCGACTGCCTGGAAGTCTTTCTGAATGACCCAGCCACAGAAGGCATCATCCTGATTGGTGAAATTGGTGGTAATGCAGAAGAAAACGCTGCAGAATATTTGAAGCAACATAATTCAGTGAGTTTGGCTTAGTAAAAATATACCTCTTTGCTCTTGAATAATACCATTGGCTTGTTTTGGAAATTATTTCTATAAAGATTAAGTTTTCAAGAAAACACGAAAGATAAAATCAAACCTTTCTGAGGTTGGCCTTTATTTATTATTATATTTATTTATTTATTTTTATTTATTTATTTATTTTATTGCTTAAAGCATTACAAAGGGTATTACATATGTGTCCTTTTTTTTTCCCCGCCCTTGACAATACCCTGGCTTCCCCTACCCCCCAGTGTCTTATGTCCATTGGTTATGCTCATATGCATGCATACAAGTCCTTCGGTTGATCTCTTACCCCCCTCCCTCCTGCCCTCAACCCTCCCCGGCCTTCCTGCTGCAGTTTGACAATCTGTGTGAGGCAGCTCTGCCTCTGTATCTATTATTGTTCAAAAGTTTATAATGGTCTCTATTATCCATGAATGAGTGAGATCATGTGGTATTTTTCCTTCATTGACTGGCTTATTTCACTTAGCATAATGCTCTCCAGCTCCATCCATGCCGTTGCAAATTGTAAGAGTTCCTTCTTTTTTACAGCAGCATAGTATTCCATCGTGTAGATATACCACAGTTTTCTAATCCATTCATCTACTGATGGGCACTTAGGCTGTTTCCAGATCTTAGCTATGGTGAATTGTGCTGCTATGAACATATGGGTGCACATATCCTTTCTGATTGGGGTTTCTGGTGCTTGGAATATATTCCTAGATGTGGAATCACAGGGGCGCATGAGAGCTCCATATTCCTGTTTTTATAGGGAAATTCCATACTGTCATCCAGGGGGTGCCCAGTCTGCATTCACTACAATCGGTGCACAACCGTTACTATATTCTCAACATCCTCTACGCCATTGTGATCGTTGATTTGAGACGAATGACCATCTGACATGTGTGATTATGTTACTTCTATTTTTCTCTGATGGCATCCTCAGGAAGAATAGCTGACCTTCGACTATGGTCTTCTAGAGGCCCCCGGCCTTGCTGAAATGTCCTCCTTTTTAAGCTGCCCAATTTAAGAA